GCAACCAGCTCTTTGACAGTCTTAGATGCAAGAGCCAGTCTGACCATGCTCACTTCCAGCAAGTTGATTCTTTCAAGCTCTTCTGACCTTGGACATATTTCCCTGTGTACCGTGGTACCCTGGGTGTGAATCCCCAGACTAAACAGCTGGTATCCAAGATGCAATTTCCTGGTGTGGACTGCTCTCTGGTGCTCCTAGACCAGGTCTTACCAATGGAATAAGAGGAGTCCCTTCTCCGGTAGCCTTACAGGTAGAAAGGAAAGCTATTCAGACTTATTATGCAGCCCTGTAACTTCTTAGAATTCACTCAGGCAGCGAGCAAGATTTTTGGCTCTTTATTGTCAGTCATCTTTACACTCTTCTTGAGCAGGATTCCAGGGGACGGTTTTGAGGTACAGAGCAGTAGTTCTGAATAGTTCTCTATTGTCCCGGATGAAACCAAAGAGGGTTCCTGACCATTTATTTATCTGCTACTGTCATGCAGTCCAGGATCCATCTACTCTGAACACAGATATGAGAGAACAAGCATCGGGAGAGGCACGTGCATGCATAACTAGAATTGACTTTGACCTAGCATGGTTTTCAGGGGTGAAGCTCTATAGCTTGCCACACCGGGATATTGTGACTATAGAAGAGCATATGATTGGTTACCAGTCCATCTTTAAGGGCCTCAGAAGAAGTTCCAAGGTTATTCCATGCTCACAGTGGTTTCTATTTTCCTGCTGGCAAGGTCATTTGGAAAAATTGCCTCTCCCCTGGAATTAGCACTCCTTAGCCAGGGATGCCAAATGCAGCTTCATTCACAAGGGCCAGCACATGCATTATTGGCGGAGGAGGGCTCTGATAGCTGTCTGCTCTTGCAAGCACAACCCAGGCAGTTCCCATTGGCTGGTTTCTGACCAGTAGAAGCCACAAGGATTGTGCTAGGGCGAGGGCAGTGCACAGAGACCCACTCTCTCCAAGGGGAGCATATTATGCAGAGATGCATGCACCTACTCCAGCAACTGGCCACTTTGGGTGGTATGTGAGGGTGCATGCAGCAAACAGGGAGCCTGTCTGAGGACTCACTGGGACTTCGGACATTGGTGGCTTAGGGTAGTGGTGGGCCAGATCGGAATATTTGGCAGGCTGGATTTGGCCTATGAGCCATATTTTGCCTGCCCTGGTCTATGGTCTGGAAACCATCATGGTAAAACTCTCCTGCTATGGCAACTTGTGGAAGAAGCCAAGTTACCTTTGCAAAGTCATTTTTGGAAGGGAGA